AATAAATAAATTTTTTAAAATTAAGTAATAATTTGCAGCAGTTTGGTTTGAGCTAGATTTTTGAATGCTGACAACACAAGGAAAATCTGCCTTGTTTTTCACCCTTGAAGATTTCTGATGTGCAAGTCTACAAGACCAACGATTGCAGGACCCAGTTTCAGCCAGGGAGAAGTGCAGCTGTTGGCAGCTTCTTTTTCTGTCTAAAAATTAAACCATCATGAGATACTCTGTTCCTGATGTGAACTTCAGACTCATGACTAGACCTTCATTTTCTTGGAGAATGTCACAAAGTAGTAGTCTGAGAAGAAAACAGGGCCTACCTACGCTGGCCTTCCAAAACTAAATAGGTAAAAGCTCTTCAGTTTGGGAAAGGTTGAAAAAAAAAATAGTGGAGGATTGTTTTGAAGGTCAGCAAAATCGATGAGTGGTCTGGAAATGCATAGTAGGGGATTCCATAGCAGAAGAGATGGAAAGCACTCAACAGTAGATCAGCTGAAATTAAATGGAGTAAGTCTTTAAAACATGTACAAAATTGTGGCATTCACTACCAGATACATAAAGTGACTCCATCAGAGCTGAGATAGACTGTAAAAAAAAAATGTGGTTAATCAGTGATTCTAAAACGTAGTGGTACGAGTGGTCTCTGGTTCAGGAAATTCCTATACAAATGACTACTAGTAATTGGAGTTATTTGTCCATTGTGTTTTCTCTCTTTTTGCTGAACATCTTATAATGAAAAATACCAAATTTCATGTAGTCTTAATATTTTCAGCACCTTATAAAGATTATAGTTGATTTAAAGAGGGTTTTTTTGAGCAGCCTGTGGAGTATTCATTAATTCACAGTTCTGCTTAGTAACAACTTAAAACACTTCTAAAATGTTTTTGTTGAAGCAGAGATTCAGAATGTCACAATATTGCCTGTGCTATTTTCTCTCACTTCTCATCATATTACAGCAGTCGCATTCTGTTGTATGTTCAGCCTTTTGCATGCATAGTGGATTGGTATGCAGAAAATGAGAAAGTTGATCATTCACTTTATGTTATGACTGCACAAGTATTAGATGTAGGGAGCTGTTCGGTGTAAGACATCAGGATATAATAAGTACAACTGTTGTGTGTCACAGATCGGATTTGCAGGAAAGCTTCTGGGGTTTTGCTTCATTTGGGTTTATTATTTTGAAGTGACTTACTGACTTTGAAATTTTGTTTAATATGATATCATGAAAGGTAAATAGCCAGCATTTCAGGGAAGGCAGGGAGGGAAAAAGCCTCAAGGTGTGTCAAGCCAGACATGCATGTCAGGCCATACAAATTTGCTGAACATTAAAAAGGCCAGGTTCAGGTTAACTGGATGTGAAAGCAGGGGTAATATGAAGAGAAGAGGAAAAAAATGCTTTTAAATAAAGATATGGGAAAAGTTGTTTTATTTCTAGTTTACTAAAAATACGGAGTTGCACTTGTGGTTTTCATCACAAATTATCTGTTTTCTTCTTTTTTTCCAGTTGAAGTAGAGAAAGGTTGCCCTGGAGATAAGTTAAAATAGTTTAGTGACTGGTTCTGTAGAAAATCCTGTGAGTTGCAGTTGTACCCAGGCCTCACAGAGAGCTTTATTCTAAGAAACTGAAAAATTCACAAGTCTTATCACAAATAATAAAGTTTATATGTTCTCCAGCTTCAGTTTCTTCAACATTCTGAGCTGAAATCAGGGTCCTTTAAACTGCTAGCCCTATACAGCTTGTAATTTGTCTTCTGAACTAAAGAACCCCTTGGACTCTGTCTGGCCTTGGTTGATTCTATGACTGAACTTGGCTATGAGCTAAAGTTGTTTCTTCCCTTCTCTACTTCTAATCTTTGTTATTGTGAAAGTCTGGATGTGTATATATATGTATATATAAATATATGTGTACACACACACTGTTAAAGTCCATTTGTCTCTTTTGTTTTTTGAAATCCAATGGCTGGAAAATTGCCAACAGGTGAACAAGAGAAGTTGCTTTTGTCCTTCTCAGTCCTGTTTTGTGTATGTTTTGACATTGAGCCTACATGCAGGTATTAGTAATATTGGGCATTTTCCTATACTGGCCCAATACCGTGCCTTTTATTAGAGGTGCACAAAGCTATAAAAAGATGAAGGTTGTCTTTCCCCCTGGTGGTTTGGCTAAGTCTGAGGTGATTCCTGCTTTTGTTTGGAATTTGTTCTGAATCTTAAGTGTGGTTTTGGTTGCTTGTTGATTATTTGTTTTGGGTTTTTTAATTCCTCTTTGGCTAGGCTCGTTCAACATGTTCATGGACCATTATTTAGAAGCTGTTTAAATCTGACATTGGTTCTGGGATGGCAGTCAGTCAGTATTCAACACTCCCCCCAGGTTGAATGCCTTGATCTTTCTTAGTCATCTTTCTTTTGATGCATTTGAAAAGCGTCATGCTTTTGGTTTTAACAAGTTATTGTTTCTTGCTTTGGCTTGCCACCTTATGGTTATGTTTTAACTTGTCTCTCTTCTCTTGTTTTCCTTGAGGGAACGGTTGTGGTTTTGGTTTGGGTTTTTTTAAAGTCTCTTCGTTCTGATTGCCACCTTTAATCAGTTTGAGTCACACTAACTTTTTTTTTGTCCTTTCAGAATCTTATTTGTTAAATGTTTTACTACTTCTCCTGATCCCCTAATATGTGCAACAGAGGAACACTTTACCCTTCCAGTTTCTTTTAACTTATTTTTAACCAGCTTCCTCTTTTACATGTAGTTGCCCTGTGCTTTAGCTGATTGCCTGTAAGTTCCTGTATTTCTCTTGCATACTATACCTACTGTGGCCTTAAGAACTGATTTTGGTGTAATGTGCTTGGCTGGACAAGGTCTTTGTTTATTACCATATTCTTTTATGTATGCTCCTCTTGATAGTACTGCTTATAGCATGTCCTTGCTGACCTAGGGGTTCAGCTATTTCACTGACACTTGACATGGAAGGCTATAGGAATGATTGAGTGCACAGACACTACAAAAGAAGGGAACAGGAAGTAATCTCTATTGGCAAGATAGACTCTGCTTCTTTCGTCTACTCCTTTTTCTTCTTTTGAGGAAAATTGATTCTGTATTGTAACATACCAGTGATTTAATCTTTTATAATACACTATATTAAATACTGTAAAACAGAAGTTTTGACAAAGTCGCAGTACCTGATGTCTAAGTCAGGTTGAACTTGGAAATGGATTTAAGTCCCCACAGCATGGGGGAATTCTTCATCTGTATTTTACACCATATTCATTACTATGTTAACCCTAAGTCTATGGGGTGAAGTAAGGTATCACAAGAATCTCTTTGCTGTTCCGTTACTGATTTACAGATACTACTAGGACACTTCTTAGGAGGAGGAACAGAAGCACATCAAGAAGAGAAAAATTTGGAGGAACTGAATTTAATTGCTTAAGATCACCAATATGAGGCAATCTAGTCTTCAACAGTCTGCATGATTTTAAGATGACTTTTCTATGTACCTGAATATTTTTGTTTTAGTTGACTTTTTCCTTTTATTTCTTCCTGTTTGTTGTTTCTTCTTGGCAAAAGGAAGGCTATTGATTCAAGATCGCTACCTTGTTTTGTTCATAAATAGCTTATTAATAATACCTATTTTTAATGTATTTGGTACTTTTGAGCTTGAATATCTATTAGTGAGGTGTTCTTCCTGAATATTTGACTTTGTCAGCCTTAAAGAGAAGAGAGAAACCCTGACCAGTAGCTTTAAGTTTAAGTACATGTCTTACTAACATCTTAGAATTCCTGAAGTTTGACAATTAATTGATGGACAAAAGAGAACTGGCTTACGTTATTTACATTGGCATTCAAAGGCTTTAGAATGAGATTCTGAGGAACACACTGCTTAACAGAAATTGTTCATTGCATGAGAAGTAACTGCCATTATAGATCGAATTATTTATAATAAAGCATTGCATAGAATTGCATGCAGAGTTTCCATCAAAGCCAAAATGACTGTGGCATGCCTCAGGGTTTTGTATCGATCTTGCCATTAGTGTATATTAACTTCACATATGAAAAAGGTGATTAGGAGCAAGTTAGACAAACTGTAGACGGAAAGAATGAAGGTAAGTCAATAAAAAAATTTCATGAGGCTTCATTAAGCTAGAAAAAGCTGCATAAAGGAGGTAATGTTCCTTACTAGTATAAGTAAAATCAAGTATGATGGAAGTCATGGCACATGAGTAAGTCATACAGAGCAGTGTTTCCTTTCTAAATTTTATCTTACGCTGAAATCTTAAAGGTCTCCTCCAAACCAAAGTGTCTTTCTCTCAACTTTGCATAGCAAATGAAGGGCAGCTACAATATCAGGATTTTCTTGGAGTATATTGTGGTGCTACTATTACTACAGACCATGAAGTTAAACATAAAGCAAGAATGAATACTTAATTGTTGATATATAAAGGCTTGGGAGTATTTTTTCTTCTACCTTTCTTATGTCATACACTTGAATATAACGTGTTTGTATGGAGATTAACTCTACTTGCTTTTATATGTTATATTCTAGCTGTTCTTTATAGAGAAATGTCACCTGTCATATAATATTAGTATTAGCTGAAAGTAATAGGTTGTCCACTCAAGTGATTACACTAACATTAATAAATCAATAATAATAAAAATATTGAAAATAATTATTAATAAATATATATTTGTGTTCTGGATTAAAAATCTTGAAACCCTTGTTATTCACTTACATGAAAATATAAATTAATTTATATGTCTATGAAACTATGCACTGCCTAATTTTTCCCTTTTGTTTTTGCATATTTTGATGGACTCAGAAAGTCAAAATAGATGTTCTGCAATGGTTCGAGTCCATATTTCATTCTTTCTATGTGAACTTATTTTGTAGACTCTTCCTTATAATTTTTCAGACTAGAGAGCATAATACAGGATTTCTTGCTGTAAATTGATGATTGTGTTCGTTTTTCTTAGATTGTCTCATTTACAGTGTTTCTTTGGTTTATTCAAGGGCGCTGGGAGTTTCAGTGACAGATTATACATTTGAAGACTGTCAGCTAGCTTTGGCTGAAGGACAACTTCGTCTGCCTTCAGATACATGTCTTTTAGAATTTGCAAAGCTTGTGAGAAGCCTTGGGTGAGCATATACAATATTTATATGTAAGGTGCATATTTATTATATATCCATATTTATATAGTTTTTCCCTTCATATAAAAATACTGCATTCATGAATATATATGGAATGTTGTCATAATATGATCAGGGAAACACCAGTATAAAATCAAACCAATACTGTAATTCATTTGCAAGCAGCACCCCAAATCCTAATGATTGTAAAGTAGGTTGTAAAGTTCTTACTTTCCATCTGACAAGTCAGCAGAGTGAGTCTGAAGCAGTCATTCCTGAGCAAAACTAGAAGACACTTTCTGAAGAGGGTCAGGAATACTGTGGGATTCCTAATATTTGTTACAGTTAAGAGTCAATTGCCTTTTCCTGTGACATCTGTGAAGGGAAAACAAGGGATGCCAAACAAGGGCATCCAGTCTTGTGACTGGATTAACCTCATAATAGTGAGGACAGAGGGGTCACCCTTTCCCAAGAAGCAGAAAGTGGTAGTTGATCTTTTGAGTAGGTTACTGCCAGATGGACTTTCTAATGAAACTGTAGCTCAGGATATGCAGCTCTCTTCTCTCTTCCCATAGTGTCATTTCCTGCTGGCTTTACCTTTCAGAAAAGCCTCAGCAAACCTGAAAAATTCACATAAACCAAATAGTAGAACTTGTTGCTGCTGTTTTCCAGTTTTTCTCCTGCTTCTTCAGTCATCCTATTGAACAACCACAAACTACATGTACAGCCTCATCCTATTAACTGTTTTAATATGCAAACATCCTTCTTCATTTTTTATCTCATCACCTGAAAGTATAGAGCATAGTTTCATGTTTTCATTCTGTACTTTTATTTCCTTTCACTATTTTTTCCTTTATCTTCATCTTGTGTACATAAATGAAAATAAAGAAGAGCAAAGCTGTATTGGAGAATAAGGAATGTAGGACAGCTATACATTATGCATTCAGATGATAAACATATATTAATCCGTTGTCAGGACCTCCATCTGAAAAGACTTCCATTAGGACAGGAGAGACTTATAAGGGCAAAGAAAGAGTCTCACTTTGTTTCAAAGGCTCTGAATTTACTGTATCAAGAGAAAAAAGCAAGCGAAACAAAACAAACCAACCACCCACGTCTCTTATTATGCAGTTGATAATCCCAGGATTCAGTTTAATCCTCTTGTTAAATTGTCTGGCTTTTGTCTGCTCAATTTAAAGCTGTTCTTTCAAATTATGCTTTTCTGGGTTTTTGTTTTGGCCTCTAAAACAATTACATGCATTTGTGAGTGAAGTTCCCAAAAGTCCCAAGAGTTCCCTCTCTGGTTTGAGCAATTATTCATTGGTGAAATATCCTGTCTGGAGTTGGGTATGTGCCAATAAGAAGGCTATTATGATGGCGTTTTTCTGGCACAGTTGGATGAAGATTGTAATATGACTTCATCTCTAATGCACGTTTGATAGATGTAGTAATTTTGCTGTTTATTCAAAGGTTTTGAGGCCAGGGAGGCAATAAGATCATCCACTTGCATAGCTAAATGACTGGAACAGTAAGTTTTATCCAATGGATTTTTCATCGAGTGTTAATACTTGCTTTTGAGCAATTACATACCTTTGAGGTAACATGCAATTTTGAAAGATTTCTGTAGTGAGACAAATTCAGACACCTTTTTGCTTTACATTCTTTGAAATCAACGTAGACCTCAGTTTGCTACACTGGAGAGTTATTTCTGTACACATTATGTATCTACAGGATTCATTATCATTGTCTGAAAAATTTGCTTGGTCTGTGCACAGCTGGATGGGATTCAGTCCAGAAGCCATGCAGCCACAGCAGTGAGTTCTCATGCTTCATCTAACGAAGAGCTCAGACTCTGTTAACGGAGCTACATAGCTGGCTGAAACTCAGCTGCTTCATACTGAATTCTTTGGTAAAATGACTGCTTTATCAAAGAGATCAATTGATCATAGACTAACCTTCTCAAATTGTGCATTCATTACTCCTCAAGCAGTCGTGCCTCTCTTGAGACTGATAATTTATGTCTGACCAATGAGCTGATTACTAAGCTATATGCAGTCTGTATTATAGCTTTTATACATTGTAAATCCTCTGCTTTATTTGATTATTTGTTGCATAATTAATTACCCCACTGTTTAAAGTGAGTCTATTTTTACTTGGGCTGGATCTATTACCATGTTCTAGACATTGAGTCTTGTTTGGATTTTGTGCCTTACTAAAGACGTCTTTGGATTATCTCCTTCAGGAAGTGTTAATACAGTTAATTAAATCTCATCTCCATCTTTTTATGAGCTGCTTTATGGTAGTTGCCTGCAAGGAGATCCTTGAGTTCTGATTTGAATTGATTTGTTTCTGTTGTTTCAAACTTCTATTTGTTCTAATTCCTGTATCCACTTTGTTCGTGAACTAGAAGGACCTTCCAACTTTAATTGTTGTTCCCCTTTCTTATATAACAGTGGCTTTTAGACCATCAATGTCTTCTTACAGAATTCAGTTTTCTAATTTTTTCAATTGTGATTGTTCTCAGTTTTAGTTGTTTTCGGTTTTGAAAATTAGAGATATCTCTCTTTTCTAAGGAAAAAAAAAAGAAGCCAAATGGAGCACATATTGCAATCCTGAGTAGAATTTTTTTAGTGACTGTGTTCTGCATGCTGTTAGATGGGGCTTATAAAGTCAGGTCTTAAAGTAACCTGAAATTTTACTTAAGTAATTCTAGTGGTCCAGGCCTTTTGCACTTTTTTTTTTTTTGGGGTGGTGGGTATAGGTTATGAGGGGGAGGAGAAAGAAAGCAACAACTTTGTCAAACTTGGAGCCAGATTAAGGATCATCTGTTTGCATATCCCGTGCTTGATTTATTTTTTTTGCTTCATAGTTGTTTTATCCCAAATCTTTCACTTTTAAAACCCTAGGTATTACTTGGAACATATAGCAAAAGCAGATGTGTGTTACATCCTTCTGTTTTAGTCACTGTTTTCTACTTTCTGATTTTTCTTATTAATTTAAAGTCTTTTTGGAAAAAATATTCTCTAGAAATGAAGGTTATGCATCTGTTTTCCCTAATTTTTTATTTTAAGCTTGGCAGCACTGATACTTGTCCAAGATGGCACATTTTGTCTTCCTGCGTGGTAGTTGGCCTCCACTTTGTGGATCAAAAAGCAATGAGTATAGAAAATACAGCAAAACTATCATATGGTAACAGGGTGAATGTGTGTTTTATTATTGGTGTCATGTGGCACAAGACTCTTTGGTTTGGCAGGTTCTTGATGTGGTGTATGCCTTTAGTACACAGACTCTGAGGTTCTTCGTACTTTTCACTGAAGACAGTATGGCTTTGCTGATTATGTCTTACTTTCAAAAAATACAGTTTGCAGCACATTATCTTTTTCAGGTCATATTTCAGGAAAATCCACTGTTCTTGCCTTTTAGACTTCTTAGCTTTTGCAGTAGGATTACTTTTAGTAATTTTTATCTTTAGTAATGGGCAGCAATTTGGGTTTGAATTCTTTTTGAATTCCTAACCGTCTCTTTGCTTTCTTGCCCTGAGTATTACTGGCATCTTGTACTCATGTGATGGGTACTAGTGATGTCTGCCCTGGAAGAATATTCAACAACCTTAGCATGCCTGCAAGGTTTACATCCTTACATACTCCCTGGCCCTGGTGAAATTCAATGAAATTCAAACCCACTGCTTTTGAATCAATTCTACTGTCTCTTAGAAGCCTTAGTATTTTGGTAAGAATGGCATGAACTAAAGAGCAGTTCCATTTTGACTACTACTCTCCAGTATTATCAAGTCAGTTGTGAGGATCCTACTAGACAATGCTACTATAGGCTTCTAGAAAGATCTGTAAGGAGTAAATAATTACCTCATAGGCCTGATGCCTGTCTATTCTTGCTCAACAGTCTTTACCATCCAGACTACAATGCAAACTTCTGCTTTACATGTGTGCCTGAAATGGTGGTCCAAACTGTAGGCAAAACTTTGAATTTCCAGTGTAATAACCCTCACAGCTAACTAATAGTTCAGTGACTTCAGAGTGTTCAGAAATCATCTATAAAAAGAAAAAAACTTCTGGAGGATGTTGTCCATCTGCATTTCTGATAAAAGCAGTACTCAGAGTATTCAAGAAGGTCAGTTTTGCAGCTGTTCAGTATCCTTTCTCCATTATAACATGAAGTGTCACAGAAGTACATCAGCAGACACAAAACTGAATGTATTGTACTTTTCTGGCTTAGGGCATGTTTCTCTGTGCTTGCAGTTTACAGTAGCTATCTACAGGATCCAGCTGTTCTTCCAGCTCTGTGAGACACTAGAAGGTTTTTGGCAGGTTCCCAGCATGCAAGAAGGGAGTTTGTTTTCAAATAGTCAAATGCAGCTAAAACTAGCTTACTTGCTAAAAATAGTGGTAATTATGCTGAAAATATTCTACCTTCAGGGATCTGGTTTTCCTTGTGAAGTCTGCTGTGAAGAATTTAATGTTCAGAATTTAATATTAATCTTGAAAAATGTCCTTTTCATCTTCATGGACTCAGGAATGGCTTTTTCTTCTCTTTAGTGTGCACTGACCTAAAAAAATAAAGCAAAACACCACAACAGCAAATAATATTTTTTATCATAAAGCCTAGATCCTGCGTGGATGCCATTAGGCCAACAAACATGACTTCATCAGTAAAGACATTTGCTGTTGACTTTCTAGCTTTTATGGCCTCCATTGAGATAAAAGTAACAATTGTAAAGGAATTGAGACATTCATACCATTTCACATTGGTTCAGAACCTATTTACGAGACTTGCTTCAGAAAACTTTAGCATAGCAGCTTTGGTCATCAACACGTCAATTACTTTCTGATTTTGAAGGGCTAGAGGGAAGCAAGCCCGTCTTGGATTACCAGAAGTACAATGCAGCTATACTCAAGTTGAAGCAGTGTTTGCCTCACTGATGCACATACTGCTTTTGAGATTGGCTCACATCTTCTGTATTTACAAAAGACAAACCACAAGATGTCTGTAAGATTTGTGGTAAGTCATGCTATTTTCCATACAAGGTTTTGCCTTCAAACTGTATTTTAGCTTTTCAAATTTAATTACTGATGGAGATCTTGCAAGTCTTGAATACTACTCACCAAAGGGGTACTCCCTCAGTTATAGAAAGTGAATTTTGAGTCAATTTGTTGCAAACCAAATCTCTCTGATTTAGAGACAGATGTTGGACTATATATTCTGTGTCAATGGTGGCTTATCTCAAGGAAGGATTTGGATGCCAGCTGTCCTTATCCTACAGTTAAAATCCATTTCAGCTACTACAGTGGGATGTATTATCTGTGGACATTTCTTGCATGTAATCCTGCATGTGAGTAGCTGAGTTCTGGGTGCATCTCAAATCATCTATGGATTTCTTTTTTGTTGTTTCTTCTACTTTTCTACTTGGTCATGAAAAGTGAATGTTTGCAGAGGGGTGTCTCACTCCTCTTTTCATACTGTCTAGAACTAAATCTTAAGATAGGTGTTTTAATGCTAGGATGGAGAACATACGAATGTTCTGTGGGAGCCATGGGTCTCTGGAAGAATTCTTTCATGACCTTCTTCAGATCTTATAATTCAGAAATGCAGGACTTGGCATTGTTTAGGTAATACATATTTGGTCAGTATAGGTCATGACAGACAGCATGGTAGTTGTATTTTTACTTAAAAGCCATGATGTTTAGGAAGGATCATTACAGCGAGTAGTCAAGTTCTGGAGCTGATGTAACAGATAATCTTCCTATCAAAAATGCTCTTATCTTTTTTCAGAAGCTCCTGAGAATGCTGATATTAAGCATTTTATTCATTCTTGTTGCTGAGAGGAAGCTGCTGAGGAGTCCCAGCTGCAGCCTGGGAACAATTCTGGTGTGAGCTTCTGAGTTCTGTAAATAACTGCTTTTCCTTGTCTGCAGCAGCGAATAGGAAAACAGGCAACTGCAGAAGGATCTTGTAGGAGACTTTATTGGCTTCTTTTGTCTTCAGACTGGAAAGTTTGGATACCCATGTTACCCTAAATCACTTCAGAGGAAACCTGCTGATCAAGATGTGCTTGATGTTATATTAGGGAGAGAATCTACTTTTCCTTGCGTGCCTGCAGCACCATTGATTATATTCATTGTAAGACTTTTTTTGCAAAATGGAAACAGGAAGCTTGACTTAGGGGAAAAAAAAATAACCAACCATGAAGTAGATATCTACATAATTATAAAGTTGTTCATTCATCAGTCAAAATCTGATTTTGCAAGAAGAAGGACTGAGGAAATTCTGTAGCTGTATGCACTGTTACAATTTTGTTTAGGTCACTTTATAATGGTGTCCAACTCTGGACTGAATGTGAAAAATGAGCACTGACAAACAGGATTAACGGTATAATCGCTATTATGTAATCCCTGATCTTTTTTTTTATGCAGGATGCATCAGGTCTTTCCTGTTCAGTGACATTAGTAAATTTGGAAACATAATTGGTTTATGTTACTGTCCTACAATACAGCCATGTTCAGGTGACCTGAATTCCTCCTAGTTCTCTATGCTTGGTCTTTATTAGCTAGTTTTAGACTGTGTTTCTTCATGTTGAACTGCTTACACATATGACTTATAATTAAGGTAGAAGACACAAGTTTATGTCCAGGGTTCTTAAACCCTTGCAGTAACTTCTAATACAGTTCAAGAACTAATGAGAGCCTTAAAATTATAGGAATCCAGTATTTTATTAAAAAGTTGTGTAATAATTCTGATTCCAGATTTTTTAATACTTTACACCATTATCATCCATTGCTTTATTTGGTACATTAAAATGTGCATTGTTAATACTGGATTTGTTTTTAAAATGTGCAAAAATAATGTTTTCTAGGCTGAAACCAGAAACACTTGAAGATGATCTTGATAAATATGCTGCAAGTGCCATGAAAATGAAGAAAGAAAAGGTTGATCTTAAAGAATTTTCAGCATACTTGGAATTTCCAGTTTCTCACACATTAGAAAGTATGTTCACACTTTTTGATGAGGTAAGAAACAACATATTAAGAAAAGTTAATACTTTTTATGAATTCCACTGTAGCCTACTTCTTTTCCAATTGCATTCGCCAAGATATGATTTTGAGCATTTCACCATAGTGTTTGCCTACTGCTTTTCCCTTTCAGCAACGTAAGGGCAGCTGTCATCAGCTAAATAAAGCATTTGTTCAGGTAGAAGTTAAAGGAGTATCAGCTGGAAAAAAATTACTTTCTTTCTAGATGCAAAATATGAAGAGGAAGAAAGGTAGGGTCAGGCTAAACCTCTGCTGCTGCTCATTGCAAGTCAATGCAGTGTCTGTTAGCTGATATTTCACTTACCTTGTAAATAAATTACTTGTTTTTCTAGGATGCCTGAAACTTGAAGGACTTTTCATTCCTCTGGCAGTCAGAATGGGGAAATTACTATTATCTATATCTGGATGAGGTGCTGTTTGGAGCAGGAGGTGGATATGTCCATAATGTTCTCTCTTATACCAAAGAGCAGACATCTTGTATTAATGGCTTAAATTAGGCTGCGTTGGACTCTGGTTCTCTGGTTTAGTTTCAACCAAGTAATTCAGATGGTTTAATGTAAAAATCTTAAATATGCAAGTGAAGGGTGACAGCAGCAGCACTGTCTTTTAAGAATATTTGAAGTATGACTTTTGACTGAGACTCCGAAAAGGGCCTGCACAGTTTTCACACAGGTTCTTGCCCTCATGTGATTTCATTTCAGTGAGACTTCATAGCATATGTGACTATCTTTCTGAATATTCTGCATCTTTAGCAACTGTTTGTTATTTATGAAAATTCTCAGACAAACTGCACTGTTTTGAGGGGAGGTTTTCCTTCACAGAATGAAGATGGTGTAATTGACATTCGGGAGTTTGTCATTGCTCTGTCAGTTGTCTGTAAGCCATCCAAAACTCTGGAAACAATTCAGTTGGCATTTCAGGTAAGCAGCATTTTCGTGCTTTACGTGGGTTACTTCTTTTTAGAAATTTTTTATACTACCATTAGACTTAATAGTAAGTTTCACATTCCCTTTTAATACTTTACTACATTTTAAAACAATGGAAAGTTAGATTAAGAGGTCATGTTAAGAGCAAATCCATTGCAAGTTTAAGTTGTGTGAAATTATGGAAGTTTGCAGTTTGAAATTGTTCTTTGTAGAACTCTGGTAGAATCCTTCTCAGCAAGTTGAGTCTCAAACCTCAAGTCCTTTGTACTGATTCCTCTAAACTAAAGGCTGTTAAGTCGTAGAATGTTTGTAGAATGCTAAGTTGTAGAATGTAAACTTTTAGAATGTTTAAATCAAGTCATACTTTTCAAGTGAATAAAGTATTTTAAAAAAAGTCTACGTGTTAGTAGAGATTATTTTTTTATCTCCTGTTAAGATTTTCTTCCCTCTTAGTCTTAGCATGCTTCTGTGGTGGTTCTGCAGTCTTTTTCCAGACTTCATGCTTCCCAGAGGTGCTTCTGATCTTTTTCTACTCTCAGTGGCTTGTTGTAGCATCAGCACAGATCATTAATAAGGGCTTTTTGGGAAAGTGACAGCAACAGTGCTTAATATTTGTCATTCTGTTGGGTTTCTGACACCTTGAATTATTTCTTTCCATTAATTTCTTCAATATTACTATTTCAACATGCAAACTCTGCTGTATCCTGCATCATCTTTTCCCTTTGGCTTGAATTCACATGGTCTTTCATGTTGCTAAAACTGAAAAGTGCTGACTCTTGATGCTATCTTCACTGGAGCTATCTCAGCATGGAGCTGAGAACATTCAATTGCATGGTACTATATATGTACCTTTATTTTCCAAGTAGTTATTTTCAGGTTCTTCACCATACCTGTGTAACCTTAACTATGTTACACTAAAGAAATTAGGCTCCTGTGGGTGCTTAGTGTTCACATGCATATGCTTACCCGTTGGCCAGAATCAAATTTGACAAAGGAGGAACGAACAAAAATATTTAGTTCCTATAAATATTGGGGGAAATCTGTCATTAGTTGCTGCTGCTACTTACTGCTACTTCTGAGGCAAAAGCAGAAAGGTCTCTGTCCTTACTTGGTCAATTTGATCTATACAGTGGCGTAGAGAAATAGTCAGGTGCTGTTTGGTCAGCTTTGTGTCGTCATAGTAAAATGAACAAGCTTAAAGTAAACTTGAAGGGGGCTTTTGGGAAATATTTTAGTGAAATTTAGCTGTTGTGATTCATAATGCACAATATAATTTTGCCAATGAGAGGAGGAAAAGCTCAGATTGGAGACTTATTTTCCTTTTGGAAGCACTTGAATTTAGTAGAACTGTTTCTTAGTAAAATTTCTGTTCTTCATTGTCTGCTTCATTCTTCAACTCCTAACACATAATTTTGAGTTGCCTGGTTAATTGCAAAATATAAATTTAGCTGTAAAACTGCAAAGATGATTTATGCATGTATTAAGAAGGGGAAGTGGGTATGGCTCATTTTATCATGCTAGTGATGATTGGAAGGGTTAAGAAAAGTCTCAAGCTGAGGAAATTTTGCTCATTATTCTAGCAAAAAAGGAAAGAGAACCTTTTTTAAATCCTTTCCTACTTCATGTCCTGCCTTAATGTACCGTAAGATATTCACAGAGCTTACCTGGAGTTACTGCAGGTTCTAACCAGTTCCTGAAGGTATGACTTTGAACAAGTACTGATCTCTGTTACGTACTACTTTCTGCTATTGTCATTTGCTCTCAGGGAAAGTGCAACATTTCGCATAGCTACAAGTTTTCAAAGTGAAGGTATTTAGTATATGGCTGAAGAACTTGAAAAATATAATCGTTGTATGCTGATGATACAAAGCTGGGGTGAGTGGCTGATACACCTTAAGGCTGTTCCGGCATTCCATGGGACCTTAATAGGCTGGAGAATTGGGCGGAGAGAAACCTAGTGAGGTTCAGCAAAGGCAAGTGCAGGGTCCACCTGGGAAGGAATAGCCCCCAGTACCAGTACAGGCTGGGAGCTGACCTAGTAGACACCAGCTCTGTGGAGAAGGACCTGGGAGTCTTCCATGAGCCAGCAGTGTATCCTTGGGGCCAGGAGGGCCAATGGTATCCTAGGGTCCATTGGAAAATGTGTGGCCAGCAGGTTGAGGGAAGTGATTCTCCCCCTCTACTCAGTCCCAATGAGGCCACGTCTGGAATACTATGTCCAGTTCTGGACTCCTTAGTACCAAAAAGACAAGGAGCTATTGGAGAGGGTCCAGGGGAGGGCCACAAAGATGATTAGGGATCTGGAGCATCTCTCTGATGAGGAGAGATTATGGCAGCTGGGCCTGTTTAGAGAAAAGAAGACTGAGGGGGGATCTCATCAATGCAGATAAATATCTCAAAGGTGGTTGTCAAGAGGACTCCTTTCACTGGTGCCCAGCTGCAGGACAAAGAGCAATGGCCATGAACTAAAACACAAGAATTTCATCCACCTCAACATGAGGAAGAACTTCTTTGCATTGAGAGTGGCAGAGCACTCAAACAGGCTGCCCAGGGAGGTTATGGTGTCTCCTTCTCTGGAGATATTCCGGACCCACCAGGACACGTTCCTGTGTAACTTGCTGTAGGTGACCCTGCCTTGGTGGGGGGTTGGACTAGATGATTTCCAGAATCCCTTCTAACTCTAATGATTCTGTGATTGTGAAAAATAGGAGCTACAGAGCCACCAGATTTCTACAGTGGTGGACAATTAAAAGAGATTGGTGGTATTATGGCAATCAAGTCTAAGAGCAGCACTCCAGAATAAGAGCTCCCCATCTTCCCCTCCAAACTGCTGATGAAACTAAAGGGTGTTGTAAATCTTGTCAATGTGATGTATGTGAACCTGACCACCAAGTATCACCTGACTACTTTTTCTGTGAAAATGTAGCAGGTTTTATTAAACAAGTCTTGGCCTTGCAGCTTTTCCTGTGAAACAGTGTGTAGATTAGGTGCTAGAGAGGAAAAGGCAAGATTCCTGATCTAATCATGAATGTTGTCTTCCATGGAACTTCAATATTTTTATTCCACTAAGGTGTGCCGTCTTGTGACAGCAGCTTCTGCTTGTGGAAAAATGCACCCTTATGCCTATTTTGTTCAATCTCATCAGTTCCCACCTTCTTAATGATGTAGAGAAATTAAAAGGAAGTTTCCAAAATAGCATTCTTTACATGGTTCAATATTTACATTGTTGTCATGCTTGAAAAGGAGACAGGGATGTTTCAAAAACTCTTATGTCTCATGTTCCATGTAGGCAAATTGAGTTATTTTAAGGAAGTTTAATGAAGCTGTGTATTTGATACAGATGTTTTGAACTATGCAGCTCCATTTCTTAGGGAAAAACACTGCACATATGTGAAGATGAAATGAGACTGTGAACAATTCTTTTTAGTTATCAATCTATCAGTAGTAAAGATAACTCTTTCTGTGAGGCAGCTCTTTTTCAGGATGTAAGAATATGCAAATTATTGTTTTCTAGAATAAGTATTTGTAGAAAAGTATAGGCCCATCACTGTATGGGGGAGGATTCTGCTGATTAATACCATTTAGACGTAGGCATTTTATGCAAACTGGCTTTTGGATGTTGGTCAAAGGAATCTTGAGTTTTACATCTGACCAAGTGGAAAGGTCATCTACTTTATGCTGACCTTTTATCTTCTGATTTCACAGACCGTCTTGGAGTTTGGACATGTAGCTCAATGCACTAAATATTATTCTCAGTTACATATTTGCAAAATATATTAGTGTTAAACAGTCTTGTCACTGAATTCCAGTGGTCCACTGTAATTCCAGTGGTTAGGCATGTAAGCATAGGGTTTTTTCTGAATATAGTAAGCTTTACTTTCTAAGCATACACAGGTGAACTGATGATGGATATATTTTACCCAGACTAATCTGAAATCCTTAATATATCACATCAGTCTGAGAGTGACTAGAATTTCCAATATCAAATTTTAATTTTACATTACTTAAATGTGATGCTGTTTATAGGAGTTGGCATTTGGCTTTGCAATGATTTATCATGCTGTCTTGATTCGTAGCTATACCAATCAGGAAGTGGAACTATAACAGAAGAGGATTTAGCTCATATTCTGAAGACTGCCATGGGTGTATCACAGATTAATGTTACACATCTCTTCAGAGCTGTAGATGAAGAAGAAAAAGGAAAGATTACATATGGTGAGTAATTTAAGTGGATCAGAAGTGTCACAAAATGTCAAAGTTGCCTGAACTCATGTTGATATACAATTATATTTTTATTAAACTCTGCCTTTTGTTGACTTGTCTTTAATGCTGATAAAAGCATTGCAACCAAAGTAAATTTACATTTTAACAAATATGAGTTTCACCTTCGATATCAAGTACTGTATTTGCATGTTTTCAGAAGTTTTCTCTTCCATATTGATACATAATATGTCGATTAGCTCGATTAGAGGTTATATCGATATGTCGATTAGAGAATATTCTGTTCTGTGACTTCCATGTATGTGAATATGCGTTTTTAAAGAAAGGTACCTTAGTTCTGTCGTCTTGTTTTGTCTCTTGTATCTGGGGGCAGGAAATGAGAGAGTTAACCAGGCTGCCTGATATGTAGTGTGTGATGTAGGTGGTACGGAGGCGAAAAAGTTGCATTTGAAAAATTGAGACCTGAGTGAATAAATTGTGCTAGGAGTCAAAGTACGTGTGTGTTACTGCACAAAACATGAAGAATCTGAAGTAAGCCTCTAAATTTAGTTGTATCATTTAAGTATGAACTGAGTTGTTGATAGCCAGCATATCATGTATCTCCAGTAGAGGTGCTTATGACATAACCTGTTCTAATTGTTTTCCTTTAGGATAATCGGTATGTATTTAATTTGTAAAAAATTTACAAATTAGGATATCAGTGTTAATAAATCATAGTTTCTACACTAGTAATTCCTATGTTTCAATCATACAATAGGTACATAAAGCTTGAACTGCAGAAATATTTTAGAGTTACTTCAACGATTATCATTGCCACTGCCCTTTTTTCCTGACTACTCTTGTCTTCTCTCCTGGGTGCCTGCTGTACTACCCCTTTCCTTTTCATACCTCTCATGTGTCATATCCTTAGCATTCCCACATACATCCTGCCCATTGCCTTTTTCCTACCTGTCACTTCAAACTGATCTGTGCAGTGACTCAACTCTTCTCCCCACCTCCCCATTGCCAGCTTCAAAAATACCAGCACAGAATCTTAAGCTGGTAAGCCTAGCAGAACTCTAATTTTGGCACACTTCATTGTTTGAGAATAGCTAAATTTGAAATCATGTACAAGTGAATTCAGACCAGTTCATGTGATTTACCAAAGAATTAATACTTTAATATTCATCTTTAATAGTTGCATTTAATCTGCACTTTTCCCCTGAGTGGTCAAAATCAGAGAAAATCTGGACTGCCGAGCCACAGCAGTGACCACTGAAGTGCTTGGCTCTCATATTCACTATTTTATTTCCTGTAGTCAAGAACAGTCTTTTTTGAGGCTACACAAAGTAGGTAGTAGGATGGTTTTTACATAATTTTTTTAAAACTTTCCTTGGTTCCTTTTCCATTAAAAGCTATCATTTTATAATAAAAATGTTGCACTGTGATTTTAAAATATCTGAAAGCTTAATAATAAGAATAAATGTCCAATATATTGTGGTAGAGAATTAGAAGAGGCAAATAAACCTTTGGTATCACATTTCTGTCTTGAAAGTTCCTGCCATAAATATTCAATCTCTTGCCTTTCCTGAGAATATGTAGAACTTTGCACATGCTCAATTTGTTGCTCTTACTTACTAGGAAGGAGAGGTGGAAAAACTTGCAGACTACAGAGTTCTGAAGATATTGTCCAGACAAGTTCTGAGAAATCAAAACATTGTGTCTGGTGGAAAAGTACTGATGTAACTTTGTACACACATAGCAGAGATGTCTGCTCACAGTCTCCCTCTTTCTAGGGTGTTGGAATGTGAAGCAGGAATTAGGTCTTGAGTCTTACTTGTAAGAACAAAAGATCCAAAATATCCAAAGTATCAAACATAAATTGCTGCACATATAGCAGAGTCCTTGAAGCCAGAGATTTTATCCCAAAGGAAAAACTCAGGTTGTGGGTAAACAGAATAACCAATAGCAAAATCAAATTTGTATAAATAGATTGATAAACATGAATCTAAATTGTTAGAAATCTGGGTTCTTGTTGCGTATTTGAAAGCACATTAGTGGTCAAAGACCTGTGTATCAGTTCTTTCAAGCAGTATGCTGTTGGCTTAACTGTTCAGATGCTTTGATTGCAAAGCTTATCCCTTCACTATAATATATAGAGAGGCAAGATTTCTCAGTCTTAAGACATAATTCTGGGGATTTGGAATGGGTTCTGTAAGTGGGCATCGCAAATCCTCGGAAACTCTCCACCAGCTCGTGGTAAACTATTGACAATATACAATATGACAATAGACAAATAGTGAAAGCGTTTGAAGAGTGCCTGACTTGCTGTAAACAGAAACCTCTTGAAGTTCTTGTAGTACCTATGCATACTTAATGCAAAAATGTAGCTGTGAGTCTTAACTCCACTTTAGGTTCTTTCTTTCTTTCTTGTCTCTTTGCTCTTGGTAGGCTTAGGAAGCAAAATTACTTTTTTACCCAGGTTAATGACTAAGGTGATCTTTTCTTCCAGTCTAATGCTTCACAGTTGCTTTCAGCTTGAGCTCCAAGGTGAGACCTACGATTAGAAGTAATGCTGGAATAGTTTGTTCTTCTACATCACCTCGTTTCACATTTCTGGTGAATGAGGCAAATGGGTTCCTAAGCACTTTTCTTTTGGACTCTGCTGTGTACAGGTTTGATAAATGTTACTTAATATCTTCATGACTGTTGAATTCAGTCCTCCCTGGAATGTTGAGGTTTTTCATTTGGATCCAGTACTGCTAAAACATTGAGGGATGGATCCTGACAGAGTTGTCAGGATGACAATTTGGATAGAAGGTGTTGTACCTGTGTCAACAGCTGCTTCAAGGGATTTTCTTAATTTATTTTCAAAAAAGATACTGTAGCTTTTTCAGGAATTGCTTGGAATGGTATCTACAGTAAGTAGTCCAGTCTTTCTCATGCAAAAAGGATTATACTTAATATGACTGTAAGAGCGTATTTGGTACTGTTGAAGGAGGAACTGGGCTTCACTCCTTTGAAAGGCTTGTTCAGCTGTTATCTGCCCTGCAGTCTGGAGAATTCACAGCATGGTCTGTTCATGAGCTCTTCTGGAATAACACAGTGAATTTGAGTAGGGGGTGCGTGATACTCTCTAGGTGACTGAATTAGTGATAATGTTCACATCCAGCTTCTTCTAGTGTCAGTTTACATTATAAGAATAGCTTCTTATTACCTGGATCCCCTACAGTGTTTTGTGTTCAAATCATGTCTGAATAAATAGTCATATGGGCAAATTGTGACAAGGCTTCAATGTCTGATTATTAGCACAAAATGTTACTTCTTGAGGTTAAGGATTCCCTGCTCCCCCAAGAACTAATATTGCTCTTTTTATTGTCATATTAGTATCCAACATTAAAATCGGGTTTGTTTTTTATAAAATGTTATAAATTATCGTCTCACAATATTCTCTCAAATATTAGGACTTTCAAAATGCTGAAATCTTTAATAGTGGAAGACAGCAATGACAGCTGCTGTTAGGTTGAAGCAAAACATTAAAGGGCATGTTTGCAAAAGAGTTTAAGAACTTAAGAAATTACTACTCTTGCTGTTCAGTGATCTTCAGCTGGAGGGCTTCTGCCCTTTCGCCAGTGAGCAGTGAGATGCTATGTCAGGGCATGTGGTGCTCATCATGCATTTTAATGCAAATCTGAGCCTGTTAAGCCCTTCATACAAGGTAAGGCCTGAAGTGTTTCAAGAGGGCTTAGATAACTCTTTGCAGCATCTCGGTTCTGGGGATGTGTTAAACTTACGCTGAGAAGCTGAAACAAGCAATGGGGATAGCATTATGTTAACTGCTGCTATTTTTCTCCAAAAAGATCATATGATTATAAATGTGTAAGTATTCAAATTTAGCATCCTTCTGTTTCAAAGAGCTGATTCTGTGTAACAACAATTTTTTTTTAGATGACTTCTACACATTTGCTGAATTGCACCCCCACTTTGCAGAAGACTATCTCTATGCTGATCAGATGGGAGCTGAGAGCAGCTTGGAGACTTCATCTCTTTCTGCTCCTAATGGTATCTGTACTGACTTCAGCCCTGACAACACTGAAGATAAAAACAAGCCCCTACAGAAGAAACTGAATTAACACTGCAACTCTTACCTTCCTCTCCTGGTGAGAGGGTTGTCTTTTCTTGGGATTTTCATAAGTCACTCCAATTATACAGCAAATACGAGTTTTGTGTGTGAAAGTTCTTCTACCTTAATATCATTCTTTGAATCATATGTGCTGTATTTAACAACATGTTCCAGGTTACTTTGGGAAAGGTGTTTTTATTTTTTTGAAAAGGTCTTTGATAGGCAAAAATGTGAATGTGCTTCATTATTAATGTTCATATTTAAAGGAAGCGGCACACTTATTTATATTCCATTGGTTAGTTTCCTGTACAAAGTGTCGCACAAACTGTGCATGTAAAAAGAAAGTGTAGCTACTATGGTGTTAAGTGCACTTTGGTGATAAGTGTTTTCCCTAGTTATGGGGATGTTTATTTGGGGCCAAACTTTGTTGTCCATATTTGCATAGTCAGTCCTGTTGACTTCAGTTGGATTATTCTCTTGAGCAGAGCAAGCATATTTTGGCCCTTTGTTTTGGTCTCAGTGAGCAGTTTGGAAACAGTAATACAAAAACTTGCTGAGGATTATTTTTTATTTTTATCGTTGAATGACAAAATTGTTTTTCTTTCAATCTATTCCATGGTAGAATGAGAAGGAAGGGCTCTTTATCCCTCACCCCAACACTTTTCTACTGTAATCTTCCGGATGCAATTAAACATGAATTTTTTCCAAACTGACATGCCACATAACTGTTTGCAAATACATAACTGAACTGTGCTTTTCTCTTACAAACAATTCAAATCACATCCACATTTTAATGGGAGATGTTTATGCAATTGTATTTGATTTAGATTTATTGGGTATCACAGGTTTCTTTTGTAGCAAGCCTGTACAGATAACACAGCATGGAACACATCATAGAAACATCATTGTATCAGGTCAGGTTTGAAAAGGTTGCAGTTACTTCAGAGGCCAAGCCAGCAACAAGTTGCAGAACATCCTGAAGAAGTGCTAGTTACATCTCTATAGCAACATTACATATACTGCATATAACGTATATAGAGCTTAAAATAGTTTAAAACTGTTAAAAAACCCACCACACTTGTATTAGTAATACTTCTTATGTTTCCTTTTGTAAAGCCAGATGCCTTAACTACCACTGGAGGTCTCAGAGGAAAATCTAGATTATTATAAAACCACAGCACTTCACTGATTGGTAGATGTGACAAAAGCCTCAAGGAGTAGGAAGGAGGACTCCGTTAGAAAATAACTGTGATGGCAACTCTGCTTCCAAACAAACAAAAAAATCCTTCAAGTAATTTCTATGACTAATTTTGTAGGGCTGTGCTAAAATGTGATGGTTTTGTGATTGGAAAACTGTTGAGATTTGAATCTTCCACACGTTAGAGTAATTTAAAACTAGATTTGAAAGGGACGAATTTTGGCAAAAGGAAATCTGTTTGTACCAAATGCTTTTATAACTATTTTTTAAGTAGCAGGAGGTGTTTTAAAGCTCATTAGGGTATTGGCATCTGTCCTTAGAAATCCCTAACTGTATGTGGCAAGTCTCCAAAATGGAACTAGCTTTAATTAAAAGGGTAGGAGGACAAAAATGTAAGAAAATATGCTTTCTGTGGGATATATGGAGGTAATTATTAAATTTTTGATTTATCTAGGTAACACATGCCAAGCTGACAAGGCTGCAGCAGCAGACTGGCAGACAAGATTTGAATTAAAACTGATCACGAAAAATAGGATAAACGGTTTGGGAAAATAAGGCATGAGAGAAACTACACTTAACCAGGAATAGTCAGCTGCACAGAGGAGGGAGTGGGTATTATTGTATTACATCTTGGGGCAGGGATGGCATAGAGTATGACAAAGTGAGCACTGTTAACTGCAGAAAAGATACTCATGGTAGTGGGATGTATCAGCAGTGTAGCCTGTGAGAAGCATGGTGGTATTTCTGCATTACCAAGATGTGATAAGGCTTTACCTGAAGTACCTGTCCATGTTGGGGCACCTGAGAGAGATGGGGAGTAGCTGGGTAAAGTCTGGAGGACAGAACATACTCAAAAAGAGAGATCAAAGTTATCCTTTAATCCAAAGAAGAGGAGACTGGAGGAAGATGTGAAAACCAATATGGAAAACATCGTTATAGAGAAGATAGGAATGCTCTTTTCTCCACATATGGTAGATACAGGCTCTTAGTTTAAAAGGCAAGTTAAACATTAGGAAAATTTCCTTACAATACACCTAGTTAAGCTAAGGATTATTCCAGGGTTATTCCAGGTGGTGTGAGGAGCCTGCCTTTCTTCACTGGACGTTTTGAAAACAGAGAAGACAGACAGCTGAGATAGAGACACTTGATTTTGTTGATCATGCCCAGGGTCACAGGGAGATATCCCTGAGGTCTGTTTTCTGTGATTATACAGTATGCATTTAGTTCAGTATATAAGGGAAGGCACACGTAGCCTGGACATGTTGCATCACCTCTATAAGGCTTTTTACGGCACATGGCACAAGCTCACTGTCTAAGATAGTTATCTTTTGCTTTGTATGTGAGCTTGGGATTTGAGAATTTCAGACTACAGGGGTTGAAATAGAGTTCCCTGAGACATGTCTGAAAAGAAGAAAAAGGTAAGCTTAGTATCCCATGGACAACTTTGAAGTGATAAAAGCTCCAGAGGAAGAGGTGCTCTGTCCACATCTATGAAAGAGCAAAGAAAGATGATTGAAGTTGGCTGAATATGAGTGTGTCTAATTTGCATATATGGTGTGTGTATCTTGGGGATCTGTTTTCTGAAAGCCCGTAGGTTCATTTGGCTTCATAATTTTTTTGTGAAGGAGATGTTTTTTAATTGTGGTGAGTGTAATAGCTATACTTGTGTGCAGCTAAGCTGTACAGAGTGACTGAAGGGCACTGCATCCTATAATAGATGGGCCCTTCAACAGACGCCACGTTGTGTGGTGAAGAGGCACCGGAAGTCCTGTATGTCTGCAAGTTCAGACCAGAGCTACCTGCTGAAGAAAGCCAATGACCTGCACATTGTTTGATTGGTGAGCAGGTACTCTTGGTGGAAGCAATAATTAAAAAAAAAAAAAAGAAAAAAAGAATAAAACATAATGCAAACCAACACTTAGATTCTGGAATGAATTGTGATTCTTCCTCTTTTGAGAAATTATTGAATGAGGTAGAGATGTAAATAGGATGAATGATAAGGTGAAGGATCAGCCTGCATGGAAACATCTTTAGATCAGATATCATGTCACAAAAAGCTGAGATCAATTAATATGATTTTAACACCTGTAGAATATTAAGGTATAATATTAGGCTGCCTTGTAGTGAGAGAAAAGCCACATTACCACAGGGTTGTGAACTCAGCTCTTGAGGGCTAAGACCTGTAACACATCGTGTGATTGCAGCAATATTCTTTACAACTCATCTATCAAACTCTAACTCCTGAAGTGTTTTAGTAGTTCCCCATGAGAAGCCTTTTTAAAAGTCACCTGAGTTGGAGCAGCTGGGTTGTGACAGTCAAGTTTTAGTGATTTGCTGCAAAGTCAGGGTAGAAGTAAAAACTTCCTTTCCCCTTCACCACACATTGACATGTAAATACTTTCCATTAAAATATTACATATTTTACAGACAGATTGTTATATTTTAACTGGTGGTGTCAACAGCCCCTAAATATCCAGGCAGAGATACGAAGAAATTACTTCGGTTCTTTGCAACTACTTAATAAATGATCCTTACACAGAAAACGCAGGGGTGTGAAGGCATTTGATGTTTCTGATGAGCATTTTTTTCCTGTTATGTAATACTGCCATCCCTTCCCAGAAGAGCTCTTGCATCAGCCTGAATTTTTACATATTGTATGAGATACACAACCAAAGCTTTGCTATTCTTGTATGGCTCAACAAGTATACTCTGTATTTTGAATATATTTAAAGTTACACAGAAAACCATGATATCCAAGATACCTGAAGTTTCTGGGTTTTGGTTTGGGTTTTTTTGCTTCATTTATCTCTTTCTAACATAACGAAACCCCACTAAAACCAAACATGTTTTGGAGCTGCAAAGCATGTTTAAACCACTGTCTCTACCACAGTATGGCAAGTGTTATTACAGATTTTTCAGAGTCCACTGCTGTAAGCAGATACTTTAAAAGGCTTTATAGGTAATTTGTAAGCCTTATGGTGAAACTAGGTCGTACACTTAGTTTTATATGAATTAATTACACTGTACATTTCAATGCATTTATCTTAGCTAGAATATTCTTAGCATGATAAATAGTGACCAGACTTGTGTGTGTTAGCAAATCCCACTTAGAAGGTGTAAATCCTTAGGCCACAAAGGTTGAAAAGTAGACATATGTGCAGAAGGGAAGTGATGCAACCTCTTTAGTGACAAAGCTGCCAGAAGTAAAAAGAGCTAAGATTCACACAGAGCTCTTTATTAATATTTTCATGCAAACTGAATAGCTTTGTTAGCTAGTTTAAGCACTGGGCTGGTTGGAATATTTTTATATTCATAAAATGTAGTAAACATTTTTCTAGCAAAGTCATTGTTGGACTTCAGCATCTGATAAATTTTCTAAAGCAGATGTGGTTTTATTAATTTATGAGTTCCCTGACAAGACCATCTTTGGTATTGCCATTAAATTATTCTTCCTGCTTTTATATTACCATGTGGTAAGTACAACTTTTCATGTTAACTATAGTCTCTTTCTGCTCTCTGCTCCTTCAAAAATGGAAAAAAAAAACAACAAAAAAAAAAAGATAAAAGAAAACCCCAACACACCCTGACTTAAAGAATACTAGTTGCAAAACTAGCAGCACGTGCTGTAGATCCTATGATCTCAGAAAAAAAAACCCCACCACCCTAAGCACAGCTTTGCATATGTTATGGGACTAAACAAGAATGGAAAGAAAACAAAATTCTGATTAGAAGCTCTGACCAAGTCAGTTTCATTCTTCTTTAGGTCAGAGTGTGGGTCATAAGACCTTCTGAAATGTTGCATTTTGCTTAATGTGAAGCCTCTGGGGTTTTTGCTAGCAGCCTTTTCATGAGTGCTCCAGAAATAAGAAATTACGTATGTGCTGCCCAAGTATTCTATATTAGCAAAACTAAAGTTCAGCTTCTAAAGCCATAATGAGACACAGAAGTTCCTTGTGAACAAAGCATTTCAGATACTTTGCTACATTTTAGGTATCTGAACTTCACCTCATTTGGAAAACTTAAATTACCAAATTATTCTGAATAGATCATCACAAAAAAAAAAAAAGGAGGAAGAGTACAAAATGGAAAGTAAGAATTTGTCATCAGTGCCATTAATTAAATCAGTTATTGTTCAGTCCAGCAAAACTGGAAGATCTGTATCACATATGAGCAGGAAGGCTGAGATTGTCACTTAGGTAATTTTGCTATGCTGACTACGTAGAAATTAAGCCAGCTGGTCTTCAGTCAGAGGATGATTTCTTGAAAGTATTGCAGCATCATGTATCCAAGTAACATCTTGGTCACCAGCAGTGCAGCCAGTGAGATTTCATCTTCTCACCCTGCCTTTTTCCTTTGAATTTTGGAAAAAAATATTCAAACCATGACAGGTGATCAACAAAGACGATAGTTCTATGCTTATAGCTATGGCAGTGAACTGGGTATACATGTTAGTCACCAACACCTTGTGCTCAAACGATGCATAAATTATGTAATAAACCATGCATAAATTATATAATACTGATGTAAAACTACTGAGAGAACACAGCAGCAAACAAGTCATCCATTAGATGTGCTGAGGCTTGGGTCTGTATTTCCTGCATCTCCCAGCGCTCAAGTTACAGCAATTTCTTTCTCTAGGAAATATTTCAGGTTTATTTCAAGATAATAATTACTTTGACTTCTATAAGTGGAGGAGTGATTTGTTTTGTAGAAAGCAACTTCTTTTTCCCCAGATGGTGTGATGTGCTTTATGATATATAATGGGATTAAACTGAAGTGGGTGATACCGAGAGAGGAGAGGATGTAAGAGGCTTATAAAATGGAGGGTTTATGTTTCTGTGAGATATGTTAAGACATTTCTGCAACTGTTGATACTGCCTAGATTGTCTTGCACAATTGTTAGGCAAAATAATTTTACTAGTTGTGTGATGGCAGTGGCTGCTTATTTCATTTTCCTTAGCAGGGTGGCAGAGCAGAGCACTCCTATGCAGGTTGGCTTTGGGAGGCCATCTGTAATTGATACTGACATATCTGCAGTTTTCAAATTATTAGTCTCTGGGAACAGAAATGATAGAATCACCTTAGCACAGATTGCACCGATGTAATTAATTGTTAATTAACTTATCTCTTTGGGGTATTTCTTTTTATGAATGTAATTGTCATGCTGCTTGACTCTGAGCTAAATTGCACAGAGCCATATGAACATTAGAGCTCATTTGAGGTTAGCTTAGGGATCTCAAAAAAGGTGCTGTATGATAATCTGTCAGTAAAATGTTAAATTTCAGGTTTTTTACTTTGACCAAAAATGTTAGGCGCAAGAGGAAAGTCATAATGACTTTTGTAATACTCTATTTTTATACTATCAGTGGGGTGTTATTTAAGAATGCCAGTTCTGAGCCAAAGTCAGCTGGAGAAAAATCAGGTTGAACTTCTGATCCCAAACCAGCAAGTAGGAAAGCCCATCAAGGCTAGCATGGCAGCAGAGCTTTTACTCTGCAGCTGACCTTTTCTGACAGGTAAAGCATCTTTTCTGTGTCTTGGGCTGGTGAATTCAGTTTACTGTATCTCTAGTTCTTGCTTGTGCTGTCTGTTCTTTGTAGAGAGAGCCTGAGGGAGACCTTGCTGCCTCTTAGGTGGCATTCACACACTTTTCTCCCTGAGCCACGAGTGGCAGCTGAATATTAAAGTCCTGTTCTGCTAATGCCACCCAAAACTAAGGGTCCATGTACTGTTTTAGCTTGTGCCTGCTGCTTGGCAAAGAGTTGCTTTTTTTTTCGCACACTTCAACCATTGCAGATGTGTCCAGGTGACAGCAGGTCTGAAAGAGCTTATGAGATTCAGTTTGTTCCTGTGAACAACAAGAAATCAAATTTACAAATACGGTACAATGAAACCTTAAATGGGGTTGACTTCTGGCTCACTGTATCACTTTCATTGTGAGCCTGTTTACTTCCAAGTTCCAAATACGGAATCTATAAATGCGATCGCAAACAAAGTCTCCTCACGAATACTGAAGAAAGGTGACACTCAGACACTTTTCATCCTACCATGGTATTGGAAATGAAATTCACCTGACAAGGTTGTTTCTAAGTCTATGAATGTATATGGGAAAAACCCAAATACATATCTTTTATTCACTATCCAGCATGAAGACAATTTTGTATTTTAAATGCTAAAGAAATAAACTTTTAAAGATCTTTTATGCCCTAAGTAGATATATTTTTTGTTCTATGTTTTCTTTTATAATGAAGTTCAAGCAAAATATTTCTTATATTTCAGAAGGGACACTTAGATTAGCCAGTGCTGTATTTCACAGACTACAAGAACAACTTTAAAGTAAACATCTAAAATTGAAATTGTATTTTTAAATATGTGAATTAGAATTCCTTTAAGTCAAACATCTCCTTAGCAATTGTATATACTTAGACAAAAAGTGAAACTGTTGCAGCTGCTTGTCTCTATAGTTGTTTGTGTTTGGTGATTTGTTTATATTGCTTTCTCAATTGCTCTAAGGGTATTAAGAGCTCCATGTAAATCAGCAATGTTAGAAATAGAAGTCAGAAGTAAATTTCTTTAGAAGTGGTAGACTTTGTTTCCTGGACGAGGACCAAGACTAAGCATCAGCTAACCTTGTATTATGTACTATAGAACTTCAGTGTTGCAGCGTTGTACTGAAAGTATTTGACATTTGTTCAACGGGACCACTTTCTAATCCTTTTTGTAATTCCCAGCATCTCTTCAGGTGTGTGAGACATTTCTAATTTGATCACAAGTACTAGTTCATCTTTTTGGAAGAATAAAACTGAATAATCAACAAGCTGAGAAATAATTCAGGAAAAAAGTTTTTGATCACTTGAATTACTGTTGAACTTGCATTGAGGATATCATTTCTATATTTTGGAAAAAAAATATTGCTATGTTTTTGAATACATTTGAAACTTTAAATGCAAAAGCAAAAAAGCTAACCTTTTAAATTATCAAATTTTGGAGTTTTCTCTTACCGCTACTGACTCCAAGTTAGGCACTGCCATGAAGAGGATGCTTTTAGTTGGAAACCTGTGCTGACAGAGCAGGAATCTGTTTTGTAGGAACTCACTTGCAAGGTATCACATTTTTGTTCCGTCAGAGGTACAACTTCTGTTGTTGACTTCAAGGCTGCTCAAGCAGACCTGATGTGTTTAAAGATGCATATTGACTGCAAGCTTTTTATTACAAGAGCCCTTGGATATGCAGTGTAAATCTGTAATGATATATAGTGCTACTGGATAATAATGATCTGAATGCGTATTTTCTGCTGTAAATTTCCCTCATGTGGCTCCTATGATATGTGTACATAGACTATTACCTTTGCACTGAACTGACTATACTTCATAAATGAAGAGCAAAAACAAGTAGTGTACTAAAGATGACTGTACCTTGTGGTTCCAATTGTGGAAATACTTTTGCAGAACAAAAAGTATAGCTTCAGTGCTACAAATTTGATTTTTATATTTTTTATTAACATGCATGGAAGACTAAGGATAATATTTTTTAAAAATGAACTTGTTTTTTGTACATTTTTCAATGTTTAAAACTATATGATTTAACATTACCTCTGAATACCAGTGATCAGTAAATTTTTAAAGGAAATACCTCAATTTGAGTGTTCTTCTCTTGTTAGTTGTCTGATAGGTTGAAATGGACTATAGCGCGTGATGAAGTGAGCCGTATGATGTAGATGCCTAAACTGTGCTACAGAAGGCATATGATGATTTACTAAAAGGGAACTAAATGATACACTACAAGTGTTGATGTGCAGTTACACAATCATGGCTCATTCTTCCCAACTGGACATTTTCCTCATGAATGGCTTGTAAATTGAATTTTCAGCGTGAAGCCAAATTAAAAATGAAACAAAAAACGTTTGGTTTCCTCTGGATTTTGTTTTAAATTTTTTTTATAAACCAAGGTTTACAATAAGGGAAAGGATACAAACCCTAACTGTGAATAAGACTGAGTCTGTATATGTTTAGGTTTGCAATGTTGATATATGTTCTCTTCCTAAATCTTCGTTCGTGAAGCCTAGCCATGATATGTTCCCTGTCAGTGTGTGTAGGAAAACAGTGTTTCTTTACCTGACAACTGGGAGCATGAAATACAGGGGCTTAAGGGGGAGGTTTGTGTGAAAAAAAAAAAAAAGAAAAAAACAATATCCCTGTGTGACAGCGATCTTGACTCCAGTTCTATTATGTGTGCTTAAAGAATATTGAAAGATAAAAAAATATTTGAAAAAGGTGCTCCAGAACTCTGGAGAATAAAGCTGTCTAAATTAGACTGAAGTAGCTCTGGCTACTTGTATTTATCCAGGGAATAGCCAAGAAGGGATCCAACAGTTCAGATGCCTACATACCTGAAAACTTGATAATGGAGGGTGGAAAAAAGGCATACTCTGAGGTCCAGTGGATATAAGCTGAACCATTAAGAATACAAGTGAAACACTGGGGAAGCTTACCAGATAAATTACATACATTCATCATGATGTGAAGATTTCAAGGGAAGACTTGTTAGTGTTTTTCGTAATGTTATTCTCTAATTTCAAGCGATGGAGTTGTTGTGATTTAACCTCAGCTGGTGGCTAAGTACCATGCAGCTGCTTGCTCATGCCTAGTGGGAAGAGGAGGAGAATTGGGGGGAAAAAAAGGAAAAACCTGTGTGTTGAGATAAGAACAGTCAGGGTCAAATCCCCAAATCGGAGTGGCAGAGACAATGCACTGATGAGCATCTAGTCACTATAGAAGTGATAATATAGTGTTAATAGCAATTAACATAGAATTTAATTCATTGGCTATTCTCATCTAAAATCAAATCCCCTTGAGGTACGCATCAGAATTCCCAGTCCTTCCACATTACCCAGCAAATGCACCCAGGTCCTTGAGCAACAGCAGTCCCAGAGATGGGTGTTCCTTTGCCTGAGGCAGGAGTAACCCAGATTGTTTTCCCTAGCAGATTTTTTACATGCACTGTAGGAACTTTATCCCCTCCTACAGTAGGTGGAAGTTTTGATTGAGCAGGGCCAGCCCAGCTGGCAGATCCCCTAGTGTTCATTAACCAGGTGGCATGTACTAAATGTGTATCCTGATGTTGGAAGGTCCCACCTTGTTCTGCTCTTCTTCCTGTTCTTGTGGTGACCTTGCTTTGTTCTCCTTTACTAAACAAGCTGACCTTTGTGTCCGTTTCTTCTTGTGTATAGGGGCAACTGATACCAGCACAGGCTGGCTCCCTGGTTCAGGTGCTGTGCCTGACACCAGGGTTGGAGTAGCCTCAGTGCCTGTCACTGAGGTTGGAGTAGCTGCAGTTCCTTTTGTCTTGTCATCAGACTCAGAGACCTTCTTTTTCTCTTGAGGGAAATGAATAATGTCAAAGATTACCTGGGAGGCCTGGGCCAGGCCCCAGCATGTTGCAATCCTTTGTGCCTCTCTGGAATAGACAGGGTGACAGCATACTTTTTCCAGATGTTATACTAGCTTTTCCAGGTTCTGCACTTCTTCAAGGGTGAAGTTCCAGTATGCTGGAGATGCCCACTGTCCTAGGTACTTGCCCATGCTATTCCACACACCCTGCCACTCAGAAATATCCAGCCCCAGGGCAAATCTCTGGGTGGGATTCTTAAGTAGCTGTTTAACCTTAGACCAGCCCTGGAACACATGCAGGAGACATAGCAATAGGAACATGCTGGTTTGAACAGCCCAAGGATATTCAGAATTCTCAAAAGGTATCTGCTTCATGGATTGGGTCTCCTAGGAGAAAAGGTAAAGGCATAATTATTAGTAGTTTCCAATAGATGGCTCACAAAGTCCAGAGCTGATGGCAGTGTTGAGTACAAACACCAGATTAGTTTCAAGTCCAGCCATTCCATCATATCATAAGACAGAGTTCCATTTAAAAAAGAGTTACATGAAAATTATAACCTTGGCCCAGTTCCCATGGGTGATAAACAGCACAAGAGGAAACACAGACTGCAAGTAAGGCATCACATAACACAACTTTAAGAACAAGCACACCAACTTTGAGAGCAAATAAATCAACTGTGTAACTAGCAGCTATTAAACTAATAATGCTTATATTTGTTCTAATGTGTTCTTGTCTGATTTGTTATTATCTCAACCTGTTGGGCCCCACATCAGATGCCAAAAAGAACTGTTACAGTTTAACACCAGCCAGCAACTAAGTACCATGCAGCCACTGACACCCCCGCACCTCCTCCTCCCCCAGTGGGATGTGGAGGACAATGAGAAAAAGGTAAAGCCCGTGGATGGGGATAAAAACAGTTCAATAACTTAAATAAAATAAAACATAACAATATTTTAATAGTAATTGTAATGAAAAGGGAGACAACAAAAAGAGAGAGAGAAATAAAACCCAAGAAAGACAAGTGATGCACAGTACAGCTGCTCACCACTCTGTGATCAATGTCAGACCCTGTCCCCAGGCAGCAATTGGCCCCTCCCAGCCAACTCCCCCAATTTATATACTGGGCATGACGCTCTATGGTATGGAATATCCCTTTGGACAGGTCAGGTCAGCTGTCCCAGCTATGCTCCCTCACAGCTTCTTGTGCGCCTCCTCACTGGTAGAGCATGGACACTGAAAGCCCTTGACTTGGGGCAAGCACTGCTGAGCAACAACCAAAACATCGGTGTGTTATCAATATTATTCTAATACTAAACCTAAAACAGCACTGTACCAGCTATTAGGAAGAAAACTATCCCAGCTGAAATGAGGATAGGCATGGATGCAGAGCTTGAGTATTTCCTTTTGCCTGAAAGAGTCTTTTCTGTCTTTTGTGTGAAAGAACAGACATCTGTAGATGGTAGCAAATGCATGTAATTTTATTCTAAGTAATAAAAAAGACTGAATATTGTATTTGTCTAAAACACAGTTTAATTTTCTTCTTTCAGTAAGTCCTACTAGTCATGCAGCAATGTGGCATGCTTTCTTATGAAGAAAAGCTTTAAAACCTCAACTTCTTTTGCTTAAATATATTGTTGCTTTTTCTTTTGGTCTAAAATGCAAATAGCTTATGTCTTCTATTTTATGAAAGTAGATTAAACTAGAAAATTATTCAACTAATGCCAGAGGATAAAATCAGAGTGTGGTACATTTTCATTAATGCTTATTCATTACAAAATGGAAGTGATTGACATAATTTAAATATTACAGATGTGTAGATGCACAAAATGCATGCCAGATTTCTTTCTTCCAGAGGTAAAGATTCCCCTACCTGATACCATCTCGATTTAACCCTGCTTTTCCCTGCTGCATGTCTCAGGGTATCATGAGGCCTGCCAGAGCTGACAGGTTATAGCCCTAGCTTTGTTCTGCCCTGGCAGCAGAGCTCTACTCTGCATGTCCTGCCACTGAGCTGCTTGGATCAACAGGGAACCGATGGGGGTCTAAATCTGCAGCCAGCCTCTCCTTGCTGCTCTCTTGTTTTGGCATCTTTTCAGGTGATATGGTCTCTCCTAAGGTAGCAGCAAGAGCTGTGAGACTTCACATCATGCATTCTTCTCCATATTCATCTTCCCACCTTTCTCTACCACTCTCCTCTCTTAAAGATATCCATCTTCATATTCCCCCATGATATTTCAAAGCTCCATGTAACCTGCCACACACTTATGGTAATGCCCCAGACTGCTTGAGCCCTTCACCTGCCTGAGTGCCTGTTTTCTCCCTTGTCTGTGTTGCAGGGAAATTCCTGGTTGTCACCTCACTGAGCAGTAATCTCTAACCCATACTTATGCGTCTTCTGCCCCAGTGTACCTTCTGTCCGAGCTCCTCAGCTGAGGTGTACTTGAGGTACATACCCATACCACCACTTTCGCCTGATTGCCCCCTGTGAGTGCATACAAGGACCACAAGAAATGCTCCTTTGTCTCTCCCAGCAAAGGGCCTGGAAGAACCTTCCCAGCTCCCCTGAGGGACCATGTTTGGTAGCTCAGGCCTACAAGAGCAGAGTGTGACTGCTTGGCAGGCGCACTGCCCAGAGGGTGCTTCTTCAGCTGCTGACGGATGGACACTTTCTTCTGGGTTCTGCCACCACCGTTTGCTGTTTGCTCCTGTTCACAAAATCACAGAATGTTCTTAGTTGGAAGGCACCCACAAGGATAACTGAGTCCAACTCCTGGCCCTGCACAGGACCATTCCCAAGAGTCACACCATGTGCCTGAGAGCATTGTCCAAATGCTTCTTGAACTCTGTCAGGTTTGGTGCTGTGACCGCTTTCCTGGGGACCCTGTTCCAGCACCCAACCACCCTCTGGGTAAAGAACCTAAACCTCCCCTGACACAGCTTCAGACCATTCCCTTGGGTTCTGTCACTGGTCACCACAGAGAAGAGATCAGTGCCTGCCACTGTTCTTCCCCTCACGAGGAACTTGTAGATGGCTGTGAGGTCTCCCCTCAGTCTCCTCCAGGCTCAATGGACCAAGTGACCTCAGCTGCTACTCATACAGCTTCCCCTCAAGGCCCTTCACCATCTTTGTTGCTCTCCTTTGGACACTCTCTTAGAGCTTGGTATATTTTTTTTATTGCAGTGTCCAAAACTGCACAGTACTCAAGGTGAGGCCACACCAGAGCAGAGTAGAGGGGAAATGGTTTGGGTTGGAAGCGACATTAAAGATCACCTAGTTCCAACTGCCCTGCTGTGGACAGGGACACCTTCCACTAGACCAGGTTGCTCAGGGCCCCATCCAACCTGGCCTTGAAGTGTTGCTCCTTTCCTTTCCCTGACTTTTTTCCAACATATTACACTACCTTGCAGTCTGTGAGTAAGGTAATTTTTTGTTAGACTGCTAAAGGATATTTTAATTTTTATTATTATTGTTATTGTTGTTATTATTACAACAATTATTGTTGTTACTATTACACAGTTATTGTTATTGTTGTTATTATTACCTGGGGGTGCTCGTTGACAGCCAGCTGAATATGAGCCAGCATGAGGATACAGCCCATGGCATCCTGGCCTGTATCAGCAATAGTGTGCCCAGCAGCACCAGGGAAGTGGTTCTCCCTCTGCACTTGACACTCATGTATGAGGCCACACCTTGAGTCCTGTGTCCAGTTCTGGGCCCCTCAATTCAGGAGGGACATTGAGGTACTGGAGCAGGTCCAGAGAAGGGCAACAAAGCCGATGAAGGATCTGGAGCACAAGTCCTATGAAGAGTGCCGAGGGAGTCGAGGGTGTTTAGCCTGGAGAAGAGGAGGGTCGGGGTGATAATGTCACTCTCTACAACTACCTGAAAGGAGGTTGTGGCCAGGTAGTGGTCCTGTGGCTGGGCAACTGGCAACAGGATGAGAGGACATAGTCTCAAGCTGCTACAGGGGAGATTTAGGTTGGACATTTGGAGGAATTCCTTTACAGAAAGGTTAGTTAAACATTGGAGGTGGTGGAGCCACCGTCCCTGGAGGGGACTTCATACCATGGTCTAGTTGACATGGTGGTGTCCAGTCACAGGTTGGACTCGATGATCTCAGAGGTGTTTTCCAACCTAACTGATCCTGTGATTCCGGGATTATTACCATTTCTACCACTATTATTATCATTATCATTACTTGCCCTAACCCTAAGCTCTGGGCGGTCCCTGGCGGGGCCCTGCCCACAGCGCCCCCTAGCGGCCGCCGCGGTGCCGTGACGCGCCCGCCGCGAGCAGGGCCGCTCCGTCCCCGCGGGGCGCGCGCGCGGCTCCCGACGCTGGTCGCCGTGAGGGGAGGGCGGTGCTTCCCGCGCCCGCCGGAAGTGACGGACGTGCCGGGGCGGGGCGGGTGGCGCGTGGGGGATGCGCGAGCGGCGGCGGATCCCGAGCGGGGCTGCGGCGGGAGGCGGGGGCGGCCGCCGTCATCAGCACCGCCAGCAGCGCCGCCATGCTGAGCCGCAGCTCGTTCACCAGCCTGGTGGTGGGGGTGTTCGCCGTGTACGTGGCGCACACCTGCTGGGTAATGTACGGCATCGTCTACACACGGCCCTGCCTGGCGACGGCGGCGGCCGGCGCGGCGGGGGGGTGCGTCTGGCCCTACCTTGCGCAGAGGCCCAAACTGCAGGTGAGCGGGACCGGGACGGACCTCGGTCCTTCGGTGTCACCGGCTCCTCGGCACTGCCCCTTCCCCTTGTCCCTGCCCTCGGCCCCTGCCCAAGCCTCTGGCCGCTGTCCGTGACCCATGTCCCTGCCCCAGTCCCTGTCCCTGCCCCTGCCCTGTGCAGAGCGCCCGTGGCTGCTGGCACGGGGAAAGTGGAAACGTTTGGGGTTTGGGTTTTTTATTGATTTCGTGTACTTGTTGGCACACACACACTGGATAGAGCAGCACTGCAGGAGAAATGCTGGGCCTGTTTAGTCTGGAGAAGACTGAGAGGGGATCTCATTAATGCTCGTTAATATCTCAAAGGCGGGTGCC